TACCTCCTGGTTTCCCTCTAAAAACAGCTATTCACTGAGATCAGGAAGGTTAGGAAAACCAGAAACAGCCAAACACACACACTATTTTCCCAGAACTCAATGCTGAATGGCACTTGATTGGTATTTCATAGCATAAAATTTAAAAAATGTGACAGTTTTTAGGTTATTTTCCTTATCTAAGAAATTCTCAATCCTTGCAGCAGCACCAGACAGGAAAACATCGTCACAGTTAAGGGCACATTTTTTCTATGGATTTTTTTTTTTTTTTTTTTTTATATCAAGAGCATAGCTTCAACAAGCTCCTTCGTGCTTAAAAGTGTGACTACTTTAAATAAATCATAAAAGCTAGTGGTTGTTGTACTGGCTTCTCAAGCTGTTATTTTATGCCTCAAGCCAAATTTAAAAGAAGAAACACCCGTGTGTAACATCAACTGGTCTTCAATTACTGGCTTGCTTCATTTGCATTCTCTGAAACAGGAGTTGTGAAATGTTAAACAACTTGAAGAATATTTCTAACTTGCAGAAACTTTGCTTTGAATTATCCTCTGATTAGTAGCATAATAACAGGGTTTCTTTATCTAAAAATATTTCAGGTACAGATAAAAATAAAAAGGTTAAAACATTACATCTTACTACCAAACATGAAAGTACTACTACACACATTATCTATCAGTCCAAACATTTTGTACATTTATTTGAAGTCCACAGACACTACATTTAATATCTGAACTGCTCACTTTGCTTATAGGTCTTAAAAAAACATATTAAGGTAGAAAAATCATAAGCAAAGATGAAGAAATACATATGAAGGGACTCTCCTTTCTTTGTTTAATCTTTTTTAAACCTTTCTTTCTTTTATTTGGGGGATAAAATACACTTCAATATATTACTTACATATACAAGACTTGAGGCAAAAGGAAGCAAAAAATACAAGGTTTGCCAAAAGAGGCAGTAGATGTCCCATCCCTGGACACAGGTTCTCTAAGCAACCTGATCTAGGTGAAGATGTCCCTGCTCATTGCAGGGGCATTGGACCAGATGATCTTTAAAGGCCCCTTCAAATCCAAACTATTCTAGGATGCCGTGATTCTATATGGCCATTCTATCTATGGATTCTATCTATGCTGTCCCATTCTGAGGGACAAACATCTCCTTTTAGTTGGATTCTTCTGAAGTGCCTACATCTCTAGCGGGACAAAAGGAGAAGCCTGGAACAGCTGAAACAATGACACTGCAGTTGGTTCATTAAAGGTTTCCAAGTATGAACCATTCCCCAGTACAGAGCCATGTTTGCAGTCCTGAGGGACAAGACCTGGGCCCTTAATAACTGCAAAGGCTGAAGTGAATCACTTCAGGGCAGGCACTGGGCAAGCCCAGCTACGTGCTGCAGCCAGCAGGCTGTGGTTATCAGCTCTGCAGCAGGGCACTGCTGCATGCACCTCAGCTCCCTTACAGCAGAAGCCCTGGAAAACACCAAGATTCAAACTGAAAGTATTACCAAAGACAGAGTCTGAGTAGAAAAGGGTGAAAAATATATTTACACACACAATTTCAGTGGTTTTAGGACAGAGCACTCTTCCTCACCAAGTTTCAGAAGCCAGCCCAGAAAGAGTCACCAGTTCTTTCACAATAATTTGTCTTTTCTGGAGGGGTAGAAGTGGGTGGTTAAAAGTTCAAGCTGGAGGTCAGCTTGCCAAACTCTATTAACAGCTTCTAATACCTTTAACCAGTATTCAGCAATACTTACACGCTGCCTCTCCATCCTTTCCTTCAGCTTCCTTTTACATCTACTTTGTACTTGTAATACTGAATTGTGCTGCTTAGAGCATCAAGCAGAGGCAAGAAGCTAATCTCAAGAGTATCAGCCTCCCCTCTGTGAATTCCTCATGAAAAATGCAACATGAAATCTCTAGCAGGAGTCTCACCTCTTTTCCACATTTTGGTCATCTGCAGAGAAAAGGGAGCGAGTGGGAGAGAGAGAATGGCTGGTTGGGTATTTTGAGCAAATATTTCTCCTGAAAAAACATACCGATTCCCAAGTATCCAAGTTTTCATCAAAGGAAAGGATTGATTTTATTTCTGCTTCATAGGCATATTGATAAGTCCTAAAAGCCTTTGATTTCTTGTGAGAAAGTCTTAGTGAAGTTAAACTCAGTATATTAAAAAAAAAAAAAAAAAGATTGAAGCACAGTATTTACCTAAGAGATATATTTTACATTTGATTTAGAAAAGAGGGAACACCAAGTCTTTGCTGCAATTTGAGATGGAATTTTTAAAATCCCACCGTTTCATAAGACAAAGAATATTCTCTACCAGCTCTGACTGCCAATCACCCCTTCTACAGCATGATCTGTGGAGTTTTGAGTATGCCTATACTACTAAAGCCTAGGTGGCCAGGAAGAGGTCTTGGGCACTACACCCTTGGATACTTCAGGCAGGAGATGAAGCTCTGGTTTGCTCTTTGTCTTCAGGAACAGTTTGCTCCCACAACCCCTCATTTTTGGGGGAAAGGACAACAGATAGATGAAGTGGCCACAGAACTGGTTCATGTGGCACTTAACAGTACTTAACAGTAATTTAAGTTTAGTGCTACAAAAAACACCATTCTGATGGGCTGCAACACAGTTTTCTCATTCTTTTGGATAGTTTGGATAAAACCCCCAAGGAATATGTATAAGGACTACCACCTGATGCTCAGAAGGGTACAAGATGCCAAGTACAAGACAGGATAGATGTAGCCAGTCACTTCTGGTATAAGGTAGACCTCAGTGATGTGGAAACAGGAAAGCCCACATCATTTCACCTCAAGATTACATATACACATATACTTATGTACAAAAGAATCCACCTAAAGGTGGGTCTGTAATTTGTTGGAACTCATTCACTTGATGGCGCTTCTGTATGCATTTAGTGTGAGGAATAACGCAGCATACACATGAAATAACACCTAAACATGCTCCCATTGCACTGGTGCACCTATTCAGTGTATGGCTGCTGAGTCAAAAGGAAAACATCACTGAAAGGAAGGGAAAGCTTAAAGCACAGGGGAAATGTCTAAGTTTTGAAAGCTACAGACCGGGCGAAAAATGTTAATTCACATCAATGTTAGTTTTTAAAAACTGCGGTGCTTGGGTTTTACAATCATATTTTTATAAAAATTATCTCCTGAGTTTTTAAAAATAAACAAAAAAATGTCCCAGCAATTTCCCCGAATTTCAGTTTTGGCTTAATTTTTCTACTCTCTGAGTCTCCAATGTCACTTCATTTTTCTTCCATTGGAAATTTAAGATGTTGCCTATACTATTTACTGGAATTTTAGGGAATGCGTTTATTGTTATTACCTACCTAATTGGATTACAAAATGCATTTTAAATAGAAGAAAATTAATAAACCAGTCAAGCATTTAACACAAATTTTCAATGTCCGTATATTAAAGAGAGTATCTTTAATTTTAAGGTAAGGTTTTACAGAAAAAAGAAATCACATGCAAAGGATTTTTAGTAGGGGAGATAAACAAGACTCAAAAGACCCTCTATTAAAAAAAAAAAACAAACAAATAAATTAAGATGAACAACAGGAAAAAGGCCTTACTAACCATAACTGTGAAACATAGTGACCCAAACCTAGAATTCACATCTTACAGATTAGACTGCCTACCCAGATTTGAAGTGATTACCATAATACCAACAGCTTATCAGCACCAAAAAGCAAGCCTGGTGTCACACACAGCCACACCTTGACAGACATTTGCTGGTACAACCCAGCAAATGTACCAGGTACCAGCCTGCACTCAGCCAAGGGTAGCTGATGTGGGACATCACCTCTCAAATGAAGCCAAGAAAACTGGGACAGACCTCAAAAAACAACTCTACAGAAGATGAAAATTAGATTCTGGGTGTCTTTTAAAAAGTGCATAATTAATGGATTTTTTTCCTTAGATCTTTAAATTCTACACTCTTCTCTTAGGAGGCAATACTTTCAATAAATAGATGAATGTGATTTTGTGCTCTGGGAACTCATAAGATGTCTTGTATTTTAAGGAAACCAATACTAGACACTGCTGCACTTAATTTCCCCCCTAAATTACTACCCCTATGGATTTTACTCTGTTATTTACACACAAGCAATTAAGCACTCTATTTGATGCAGTTAAAATTATTTCTTCAATAGAACCTTAGTCTTCAAAAGTACAGGAACCTTTTTTGGATACTTTTCCATTTTAGTAAGACAATTACAGTCAAGCTGCTTTCCTCTCCTAGTGACAAATTCAAACCAAATTTTTAGGAGCCAAAAACTAGCAGCAGTGAATAATGCCTGGAAGAAGCTGCTGGTTTCAGTCCTGTTTTCAATTGGCAACATGTACCCAACTGCAGTAGCAGTAATCAATACACTTTTTAGCAGGCTGGTCATGCAAACCAGGCTACATAAGCTACAGGAATAAAACTCACTTTCAACAGCAATGTCCCAGGACAAGGTTACAGAAAACAGAAATTTGTGGAATTTAATGACCATGCTGGTTCTACATAAATGCTCCAAGGTTATACAGGACACTGACATTTCCAGGAATGTCCATCTGGCATATTTCATATGTATCAAGGTTATAATTACTAAAAAAAAAAAAAAAAACAACAAAAAAAAAAAAAAAAAAAAAAACCCCCAAAAAATCCAAAAAGAAAACAGGAAGGGAAAAAAAAAAAGCAGCAGAATCTCATAATTATGAAGCTCACCAGAGAAAATACAATCATAATTTAAAGTTAAATGGCACTATTTTTTTTCCTAAACAATTTTTAAACCCTCCCTTGTATTTCTGAATTTTGTGTGCCTGGAAAGTTGCACAAAACATGTTGCTTCAGGGCTGCACCTAATTACATTGGGCATCCAGAAATAGGTGCATCTGACTCAGAATTTCTGCATGCCTTGCCAACCAATCAAACCATAAGAAATGCAAACTATGCTTAAATTAAGCAATAAAACACTGCAATTTGCAAGTTGTAACGTATTAGCATACACCGCACTGCAAGGAAGGACTCCACAACAGGAAACAGGTTCAAAGTATACTTGTACCCAGTACTGCTGAGAGTATCTTCACAACTGTGACTTTACACAACTGGAGTCACACAACCAACTATTCCACACTGAATATTACGGAACAGGACTAAACATCAAATGAGGGTAAGTGCTCTAAAACAGTGATACCTTTAATTACCAGCTCTTAATTCTCGCCTTTTTAAACCTTTATAAATGCGAGAGTTTTTCATTTGATGATCATACTTCCCTGTAGACAATCTTCCAGACAGATTTAATTTATTTAGCGACAAACATAGAACTGATACAAATCCAGACTTAAGTAGCAGATCATGCTGAGAATTTGTCATTTTACCTTATGGTAAAATTATGAGATCAGGCACTGCATTTTGCAGTGGTCCAGGTCAGGTGGGCAATGGGCCAAAGAGATGACCACAAAAACTCCATGCTTGTCTGGGACTGTTCTCTCAGAAACATCCTGAAGACAGCAGATGCAGCTGAGCTGTTTTATTTTACTCTTTCACAATACTATGCAGGCAAGTTATGTAAATCAACTGGACCAAATATGCTCTTAGAGATTTCAAAAGAAAATACATTTCATCATGAGAATCTTACCGTATTTATTTTCATGCCTCAAGGGTGTTATTAATAATTAGCAATTTACACAAAGTTGCTAGAAAATGCACAAAACAAACCAATAGATTAAGCCTCAGATATTTTCAACTTAAAAGCTAAAAATCAATGCTAACCATTAGAGAATGGTCCAAAAACTATAAAGCAACTGATAACCACTGCATTCACAGGCAACAGTATCAGCAATTAAAGGAGCTACCAGTAAGTGATCCATGCCAGTTTTGAGAATTTTCCACCAACAGCTGCTGTTCCATAGCAGTCCAGTCATTTGACTAACTTGTAAGGTCATTTTCTAAATGGGAAGTGCTAAGTCTTAAGTTGGAGTTGCAAGGAGCTCCCTTAGTTGACAGCTATGTGCCAAGAAATGTGGCAATAAATTCCAAGCAATGAGACAACTTAACATCAACAGCATTATATTAATATATGTGGGTTTTTAGATTGATACTACAAAGAACTGCCTTCATCTATGTTCATTATGGAGCAAACTCTGCTATTAAACACTGATTTGCACAAAGGCTACAAACATAATATTCAATCAGCTATCAAACTGAAATACATTTAAGAGCTATTTGAACAATTGAAGTATTTCCTATTCATTTTACATTAGAAAAATATCCAGATCCCCATGCCTGCAAAAGAACAATCATTTTCAGAAATGAATAAAACTGTATATAGCAAAATAGGTTATTTTGTACCATATAATTTTCCAAACTCTATGGTTACTTTTGCAGCAGTATTTCAATGGCTACCTTTCAAGACAAAGTATTTTGCCACTTACAGTCTCTGTTACTCATTGCAAACGATTAAAGTAAAAATGTAAAAACACTGTCTGCAGCATACTGTGATACATTGCAGCTGCAGGTGATTTACCATATAATACACCACTGCACAAGCAGTCACTCCTGAGGCTGCACAAAATGAGATTACATTGGGTTGACAGAAACCTGAACAATTTTTAAAAAAATTACACAGCACTCTCACAAAATTTAAGAATAAGAAGATAAAGCATCCAATTACTTTACAGGCATTTTGCTTGAGTAAGAGCTTCTGGATTGAGCCTGGAATTAACGGCTAGTAAACAGCTTTAGGATTTTGCCTGCCGTTTGTACCTGCTAAAGACTTCTTTATCCAAAAGTACTAGAGTTTGATTCAACAAAATATAAATCATGTTCTCTGCTTTCATTAATGTAGACAGCACTGCACATCAGCACTTTTACATATACGTATAGATATATTTATAAATAACTGCATGCTTGAATGCATCAGAGAGTTTTCTGAAAGCCAAAAGAGTGTGAGGTAAGTGCCAGGACGGTGCTGAAATTTCAAAGGAAATAAACCATGGTCTTAAAAGCTGTGTTCTTTTCACCCTCAGCAACGTCCAGGGGATCCAGTTACAAACGTGACCATTAGTAAGCCTTTAGACTCCAGATCCTTCATCCTCCGTGGGACAACTTGAGTTAATCAGAGAGCACAGAGGTAAGAAAAGATCATTAGTCCCTTAGGAAATCAACTGGGCACAAGCAAAAGAAGAAAAAAAATTGACTGGCAGAGTAGCTAAAAAGCCACTCAAATTGAAGTCTTACATCTTAATTTTGAGTGGTATTTTGGAAAACACCTATATACTCAAAAAAAGAAAAATAATCTTTTTTTCACCTTTCAGTTGGAAAAAGAATTTAGAAACACTTCAGCCTCAAAAGCTTTATAAGACTCTCCATATGAAAAAAAAAATCCAGTGGGTTTTGTTGGGGGTCTTTTGGTTTTTTTTGTATTGAATTGAATGTATTGAATGATTCAATGTGGAACAGAAACAGCAATCACAGTGGACTCAGCCTATCCAGAAACCTTCCTGCCTATATATATATAATTTTTAAACGCCTGTCATCCAGAGGTTAGTTTTTAAGAGAGAAAAACTATTTAAGACACTTAGTTGCAAAGATCTGGATTGCTGTTTCATCCAAGGTCACAAGCAAAAATACTCTTTTCCACTTATGTTTTTGAAGAATTTGCATATAATTTATACACAGTTTTAGAGGTTTGGTAGAATGTCCCAGAAGACACAGTGATGACAGCAATATGATCACTAGAAATTAATTCAACTATCTCAAGAGCATTAAGTTGATCTTCCTTCCATACTAGAGACTGCAAAAGTTTACAGATGGAGAAGTGTCTTTTGGGAGAAGCAGCTTCCTAAAAACGTACCTGAAAATGAACAAAATACTCCAATTCATTCACCTTTCTCAAAGATTGTGAAGCCCTAGGATTTTGACAGCAACTTGTTTCCAAGAACCCATGACACTGATTTCAGTATGTTCTTCCATGTTATCCCATTGACTTTTTTCCCCATATTCTTACCAGTCTCTACCATCAACTTAATTTGGCAGTTGTTTTAGCTCCCAGCCTCACAGACAGTTGTAAAGCAGGGTGTAACTTTAGCACTATTAATTCAGCTGCCTCCTAGTTTCCCTGCTACATGCTGAGAAGCTGCGTTGCCATTCTGCTTGTTCTTCCACCAGTCATCCATTTCTCTAATTCAGTACCCTCAACAAAGACAAATAATGCAGGAAGGAGACTCTCATCAACCATGTGATAATTAATCTTCATAAAATTGTTAAACAATGAAATTCCTAGCTCATGCAACAGTTCAGCATCTGCCAAAATAAGCGTCACTTTCAAAAAGTGACGGGAAAGTAACACATCATGGGTTTTGTTACAGTTTTACCGAAGTTAGGATTAGTTGCTGTATGTTAGAAGTGCACTCATGCTAATCTATTGTCAAGGTATATATTGGTATATGAAAAGCACTTGTATCACATGCTGCTGAGGGTATCAGACCCAGCAAAAAGGAACAGTTCCATTTGTTGTTTCCTTCCACTTAATGAATCATGCAAAACTGACTTTCTGGTTTTGTTATTCACTTAAAAATATATTTTTAGAAATTAACTAGCCAGATACTTTTTACAGCTATTGAAAGGGAAGAGAAGTAACTTTCTCCCCAGAAAAGGAAGGAGCAGTAAGAGGAGCAAGGGTTGTACAGCCACAGGGATAAGCACACAGAGCACACTGCTGAGTCCAGACAGAAGAAGGTTACAAGAACTGAAAGAGTTTTAATAATTTTAGCTGTGGTGACAGATAGGTCACCTTTGAGATATTAGCTTGACAAAGATCATGTTAGGAATTATAAAGGTCCATCTGAACAATGATGTCTGGGTTATCACCCTGCATAAAAGACAGTGACAACTGTTGTCTGCAGTGATTTAGGAAAATGCAGGATTATTTAAATGCTCAAATTCTTTTATCATGAACTTGTATAGTCTGCATTTGTTACATGAAAGAAATTTGCACATTGGTAAATGTCACCCTCCAGAACTGTACCTCTATGTGCCATCATTTTCACAAGGTGTCCTAACAATTTTCCAGTGTTCTTTATTAATTACTGTTTTTAATCAAATTAACATGCTAATGATTTTTTGGAACATCTAACCAGCAATTCCCAGGGCTAGACTGCAAGACAACAGTTCTATTCTACTGCCAGAAAACAGTATGAGCTCTATGTGTAGTGATTTGTTGCCACCACCTGCACACCCTCCAGAAGTAGGGAAGTCAGCCCTCAGTTCAAAATCAATCCACAGATCCATACTTGGAACAGCATAACCTGCCAAGGTCACATATCCCTTACAGTATGCCTTATATTTAAAGACAAGGCCGAAACACAGAACTTTATTACTGAGCCTTCTCAAAATACTGACTACAGCAGATACCCTGCGGGGTCATAAGACATGACTGTGATACACGCTGCACTGTGATGAAGGCAGTCACTGGTTCACTGCAGGGTGCTAAATATAGACTGGGAGATGAATGGGCCTCTCTAATATCCTGATCCCATTTCCAAAACCAAAATACACTTCAGGTCTCTTGATCAGTCAAGAGATCGCTCTTCTGCAAATTGCTTCCAAATCTTTACAATTTCAGCCAGGATCATTTTTAAGTCTTACTTCATAGAGATTTTATACTTAAGACAGAGAAGAATACAATTTTGTCATGGATTATTAAGCTTGAAAAACACCATCAAAATTTAATAAAATCATATTTCTTAAATAAATGCGCGCCCTGCTAGTAAACTTTATCTTTCCAGTCGAGGACATATCTGAAATGTCACTGTTTTATCTTCACAAATCTGAGTTTTCAATCACTGTACATTATAGTATTTAACTCCTAAAGTTTATGATAAAGGCAAGACAAAAAAATGTCATGACCTTTCATGGTGGTGAGATAATTTACAGATATGGGCGTATGAGAAAATTCATACAAAGGATTTTTCCTGCTGACACTTACTGGTGTGGTACTGTGTCCAGTTTGGTACAGTTACTTCAGCTCCAGCTTTCCCATTCATGAACAGCAGCAATAACAACATTTAATCTAATATTAATATACTTTTAGATGTCTTTTATATTTCATGTGTATTAGTAACTCAGTTATGGTTTCAAGGAAAAAATCTCTGGACAAGAGTAAGACTGACTGAATCCCTTTCTGCAGAAAAAGTCCCTGAGGACTGCATTTCTCACCAGGTTTCTGAATTCCAGAGGGTATTTCAGATGCAACTCCCCAGGTTTTCCTCCAAGTGTAGATGTAGCCACGCTGGAGGTCAGACACTGGACTGCACCTTGCTGTCCAGCTGCAGCCCTTCCCATGAAATGACCTGTAAGAGCAGCTAAAAAGTGACCTCAGCTCCAACAAAGAGTAGACCCAAACGGGAATAAACTAGCTGAGGCTCAGCTTCAGCAAGATTTACATGCATATTTACCAGAGGAAAAGCAATCATGAACACGATGAGTTAGTGAACAAAACTTTCATGTTGTGGTGTTTCCTCAGATCTGCATACAGAGTCAAGACTTCAGTGGAAGAAAAATGTAAAGGTCAATATCATGTTTATTTACATATAAATCCATACAATTGACTCATAGTATGCCTTCACCTTTCTCTCTACAGAAAACAGGTAAAAGGGGGGGAGAAATACTAAAAATATATTATTAGTAGAAGACAAGCACATTTCTAACCTGAAAGTAATACATAGTATCAGTCAAGTACTGTTACAGTCAAGTAGACATTGATAAATTCTCCCTTCCCTCAATGATTGTGCTCCCACCTAGATAACTTATGCTTCTGCAACGCCACATATGCTTTCACCATAACTCTCCCCATGTAATATCTCCAAACAGCAAAATCCTATGCAGAGTGCCCACACATATGTGGGAGCATTGAAGATTTCAGATTAGTCCTTTCTCTCTCCATAGAAGAATTTCTCAAGTAGAACTAAAGAAGCTTTATAAAATCTTTATAATTCAGATGAGTTTTAACCATCAATCATGAAGGAAAGATAGAGCATTTATCACTGTTCAGTTTGATGGTTTCAAGTAATTACTCTGTAAATACCTAAATCTAGTAATAACACCGCTAAAAAGTATGTCTACAAGAATTTTCAGGACAAAAGTCAAAATTCCTTCCAAAGAGTATTTGTAATTCAGGACCATCATCTGTCTCATTGTAGCCAACAATAACCTCTCAACCCCACCCAGCAAATAAATTATTTGCAAAGACAAATCACAAGTTTAATCAGTAGTCAGTGTGACCTTTTAGGAAGGATAACTCCCTTCCAGACAGTATCTCCAACCACTAAATGAAATCTCTATTTTCCAAGTTAAGGGGAAAGAAATACAACTGCTTGAGCAAATTGTATTGGATAAAAACTTATAATGGCCCCAGACATTAGCAAAGCTGTTTATCTTTTATTCTAAATTCTGCTTCATCTTCAGTCTGCAGAGGTGGTTGGGACATATCAAAGAGAGACACACACACAGATTCATCAACTAGAAGCTGAATAAGTCACTTGAGGCCATGCACACTTACTGTAACTAACCATAGTTGTGCCTGAAGTGGAATGGAACCTCCTTGAAGAAGAAACATTATATTAACATTTCTAGTAATTGTAGCCAAAGGCACAAGAAAGGCCTGTTGAAGTGAGGCGGGGGTTGGCATCTTCTTCCAAGTAACAAGCAATAGGGCAAGAGGAAGTGGCCTCAAGATGTACCAGGGGAGGTTTAGATCTGATATTAGGAAAAATTTTTTCACAGTAATGATTGTCAAGCATTGGAACAGGCTGCTGAGGAAGTTATTCACTTCCCATCCCTAGAGGCATTTAAAAGACTTATGGCAGATATGAAACTCAGGGATGTGGTTTAATGGTGGATTTGGCAGTGTTAGATTTACGGTTAGACTGTATGACCTTAAACACCTTTCCCAACATGAATGATTCTGTGATTGAATGCTTCTAAATTCTCAGAACTGCATTCAGAAGAGTCTGAAGGACAGATCTAAGAAAAACCCTCCCTCTGCCAGCATAGGCTCTTCCTTCTTCCCTCCCTGTAGCACAGATACCTGCAAGTAGCTCGTTCACACATGGGTTTACATTTCCTGCGATCTATACAGATCCTTCTGCACAGAGCTGCACAGAGTGCTCCTTCCTGTGGCAACGATTCTTCTGGTACATGTGAATAAACCTGACTCTACAGATAGATATCAACTGCAGAGAGATGTAAGCAGAAAAAGAGAGAAAGGAGACTTCATTCCTCCTAATGAAATTGGAGACTTCTGACTTCAGTCAGCATAACTTTCTTGGATGTAAAAGAGTTTTTCAAGTTGATGAATTCACTGTGTGATTTTTCTGGAAACATAGCAGTTTCATTTTCTCCAGGGCTGAGCTACCTGATGGGAAGAGGACATCACCTGCTTATCAGCATGGCAGTAGTGTGGATATCACACCAGCCTCATCACGCCAGCTTCAACTGAGCCATCACCTGTCATCTGTCCTGTGACAGGGAAGTTTCACTGTTAAAAAGATGCACTGACAGAGACTTTTCTCACAGAGAGAGTGGCCTAGATCTTCAAACTCACTGCCAAGGATCAGTGACCCTCTAGCCCCACCACCTACAGAAATTCATCCAAAGTAGTATAAATTTTCCCACAAAAGACCCTCTCAAGTATGTCAGGACTCTCATCCACATTCAGAAAGGCCCAGCAGTAACTTTAAAGTGCATTCCTGTCATGACAGCTTCAAAGGGAAAGATTTGTGCATTTACTTCTAATTGGTAGTTCTCAGATACCAAAGTTATGGAGGAGCTTAGGCCACATAAAGCAATTAAATGTAATGCCCTAGGAGAAGTTAGATGCTATTTCTGACTGAATGACCTCAAGAATGTGTGCAAGTGTTCTGATCTATGACACAAGTGAAATAGGAGGTATCTAAATGTGTTCAGTAGCAATTTTTTTCTCAAAGCATAAGGTTTTTATTCTCTTGGTTTAGTCAATTTGACTCCTGGCACCAGCCCGTTCCTTCCATATGGTATCAGGTACAACTGCAATAAAAGAATTAAAACTCTACAGAAATCTCAAAAGGCATTAATATGTTTGCTTGGTCAGACTATGGAGTCTCAAGGCAAGAAGGAAGCCAAGACAAACAGGAATATATTGCTTAAATCAAGTCGTGGGCAGGTACTGAACTTCCTTTCTTCATTATTTCTAATCAGTTTAAGAGCATGATTCATTTGTTAAACTTCATTCTGTACAAGTGGGGAGAAAAAAGTGAATTACCCATTGAATGCACAATAGAATAATGAAAGGAAGCTGCAGGTACTTCATGCTTTTGAAAATTATTCACTCTTCAAGAAAATGCTTAGAGACATATTTATGTCTATCTCTGTTAAGTAAAACACACATTTATGTTTGAAGATTTTCTTGGATTAAGTCTAAATAGAAAATTTCAGAAATGCCAGGCTTGAGGACTGTGTCCACCTCTGCATCACTGGACCAGGCTGTATATATTAAGAAATAATCACATTTCAAGCAGAAGACACTGTCTGAGACTACACTTCAGTGCCCCAAATGATGAACGTTTTGCTGAGCTTCCTGCAATGCAATTACACTGCAACTCAGATAGCTATCACAAGATAAATCTAATGCTCAGCAGAAAATTTAAAATATTTCTTGATTAGGTGCAGCTGACCTATAAGACAGCCTTTGAACTTTTAATTAATATCTTTAAAGGAAGGGGAGGTTTACGCATGAAAGGGCAACTCCTTAAAATTATTTTGCAATTGATAAACTGACCCGTTCAAGAATTTTCTACCTTGATTGACCTGTGGTGGCAATCCCTTGGGTAATGTACATCTGCTCTCTTACAGGAAATCTGTAAGACCAATTTACAAAATAAAAAATCTTGCAGAGAAAACAAGGAAAAAAAATTGCAAGTTCCCCCAAACTCAGTATATTTTATATAACCCATGTTAACAAGTGAATCTCAATGCACCATCATTAACCTAAAAAACCAAGAATGCGTGCTGTGTTGTATTAATGGTTAGAGAACATCTGCCTCATTAGGAATAATACAGAAAATTATGTCTACTATGTATACATGTTAAAGATCTTTTGTTAGATAGTATTATTCATGCTTTCTACTCCATCTTTTCTACCTGAGAGCAGAAGACACTATTTTGCTTCACTTAAAATCGGTCACAAATTTAATAAATTTTCACCACAGCTATTAAAAATATAGTCAGACTTGGAGTAGGGAAAGAGTATCAAGTATGAATAGATATCATTACCTATTTTTGATTTAAAAAGTTGAACAACACAGAAACTTAAAAAAGTGTTCAGTGAAGAAAGGTGTCTCTATCATTAAGATATTGTTCAGGGCCTACTTTGAAAATCTGTCACAAAAATACTTTCTCACAGGCCATTAATTCACTAAAACCACCTCTTCTTTGAGAACACGTATTTAATTCCATACTGGAAATTCATATATCATCCCTCAGAATAAATCTGAAATTTTGGGCAGGTTCCTTCATAATTTGAGACCACAAAAAGTATCCCAAGAGTCTCCACATCATACAAGACACTCAGTAAAAAAAACAAGAATACCTCACCAAAGACTGGCATACCAAGAAAAATGGATGTGAGGTAGGAGTCTCATCCCCACATATGATGTTCATTGCATGGGTTTTGTGCGAGGACAAAAAATTACAGCAAAAAGATAATTATGAAAAAAACTCTTAACACATGTCTTGCTTTAAGAGGAGGAAGATTCTGCTTGTAAAGGTTGTAGATTAATTTGAAACTCAAATACTAACCTACTATCCACCTTCCTAAACACAATTCCTAATCTCATTTAAGAAATAAACCTTATGGCAAATAGAAGAAAGCCCACATGCATGAACTTTCCCTGACCCAGTTCTGGGTGAATTTTTCTCAAAGACAGCCTTTTGCAGTCTTTTTTATAGAAAGCTGTGGATCTATTTTGATTTTTATAGAAAATTAGTCGCTTCCCCTGATCACCATTCTTGAGTCAGAAAGTAAGGCCAGTGCAAATGAGAAAATGTAATAGATCAAGCCTCAAAAAATAAATGTGAAACTGGATTTTACTAAGATAAGCATGAACATTCCTGATACTTATCTACTGAAAATCCTTAAGTGGAAAATAACTCTCCAACAATAACAAAAAAACCCAACAAAAACACCACCACAACAACAAAAATAAACAACCCACTCCCCGCCCCCAAAAGAACAACAACAACAACAACAACAAAAAAAAAAGGCAAAAAATAGAAGCTAGATGTTATTTAGTGCTCATGACAGAGTTCCAGGAGAGGTCTGCTGTCCATGAACAAGACCAGGAAAGAGGAGGAATGAAGCATGGCTGAGCATTTAATCTTCTCTACTAATCACAAAGAAGAAGACAAGTTGTTTTAAAGATTGTTACATCTCCACTGCTCTGGTATGTACGTAACAACTGAGGTAGAACAAGAAAATACTGGATGTGACCATAAACATCTATGAGCATAGCTAAGGGAAAAGCAGATATCTGCACCTGGTGCAGAATAATCCCATGTATCCATTCAGGCTGGGAACCCACTGTTTGGGCGGCAGGCCCAGACAAAAGGGTATTTCTGTGGACACAGAAGGTTGAGCAAGGCAACAGCATGCTTTTATCAGAAATAAGGCAAGCACCAAGCAACTACACTAGAAGACTGGGACTGACAGGCTAGAAAGGTTTTCTTCTCTACTCAGCATGGCCTCACACACTAGGGCAGTCAGCTGTGATCCTTCCCAGATGAACAGGAATGTGAAGAAGACAGAGGAGATGCTGAAGAGCAACCAAGATACTCAGGAGTCTTGAGCTTTCGTCTTGGAGCAGGTGATGGAGCTGAACATGTTTGGTCTGACAGAAGGGTGTTCTAACAGGTGATGTAGTAGCAGCCTACATCTCCTTTAAGGTAAATGATAAGCCAAAATCTTCTCAGCGGTGACAGAACATATAGAAAGGGACAATGACCATAAATTGCCATTTGGGAGGTTCAGGGTGGCTCTTCCATTCTTCCCTCCCCAAGTCAAACCACCTCTTTTTTCAACAGGCAGGTGTTGCAGACCTGCAGGTTATTCAGCAAGGTGGTGGGACCTTCATCCAGGGAAATTTAGGACCTGTCTGGACAAAGCCATCTCACACAACTGGGAAGAGTGTATCTCCCAGCTGGACTGGGTAACTTCCCAAGGTTCCTTCAAAACAATGTGTAGGTGAGAAATATGCACATGTATAGAATCACAGACTGCTTCAAATGCAGTAAATCACTGCTGATTTATACTGAAGGGCATCTAAATATCCACTTTAATGCACTGTCCCTGAAAGAAAATGCCTACTAAGGTTTGTGTACTACAGTTAAAGAGTTTTAATGTTTTATCTCCTCAGTACCTAATAAGATTTGATTTGCTACATATTTATGCTGTCAACAGTATTTTTGTTAATTGTAAACATCATGCTGTTATTTGTTTTTACAAACATATAGAAGAAATATATTGCTACTCTAACAGCATCAGATCCTGACTCTGAAATGGTATCTGAAAAGATGAAAGGTGTAGAGTTACCCATAGAGCACCTGGAACTAGCTCACTAGATGCCAGAAGAAATGAAGAAATAAAAACGTTTCTCCTACTTTCAATAGAATGAGGAAAAGCAAGTCCTTTGGGTGTTGCACATGACTGGTTTTCTGGAACCTCCGTTATTATACCAAGGGCACAGTGTGATGCAGCTCTGTTAGCTCACACGCAAAGACCTGCTGTTCAACGGCCATTCTGATCGTTACTGAGATATATCCTTTCCAGCAGATCTGGAAGACTAAAATAGCTAGTTAAATCTTTGATGGCATCATTACATTTTTTCCAGAAGTAATTTTTCAGGTTTTTTCCATCAATAACACAAAAGACAAGAATAACAACATACAGGCTCTTGCAATTCAGCTAACACTGTCTCTTTTCTTCTGCAGTGGCCAATGGGGGATGTCCATGAATACCTATCAATACAGGCCATGCAAATTGTTACTGCCCTTGTGCACACATCCATATGTGTGATTTGGAATTCAGAACATTCCAGAGCAAAAGTAAAGTTGGTAGCTTTGTAAATAGAAGGACATCTCCACGACAAATATCAAAGACTTCTGCATGGAATACATTACAAAGAAGTCAGAAAGAAACAGAAACTTTATTATTCCTGAAATAAATCCAACATGTGAAATTAGGAAACGTATGTAACTAATTATATCCTACCAGTATAAACAGTATCAAAGAGGAGTATTTTTCTTCTGAACATCTCAAGCCATCACATTTTCAGAATGTCAATTAAAAACAAAAATAATACAAAGCTCTTATGATAACTGAAGATGAAACCCAGAGTTAAATTTGCAACAAATCTGGAATTCCCCTTTGATCACTCTAAGGCAATGGCTGCACATTTTTATCACACCAAATAAGCCATAATAAACTGCAACAGCAATAACAGAAGGAATCCTGTGACATCCCAAGACAATGCTTTTGAAAAGTTACAATATCACAGCCTTTTAGTGTAAGCACACGTGTTAAATATGCACATGGCTCCATGTGTAGGTGATGCAGTGTGGCATAAAGTGGTATCTAAAAAGAAGGTTTTCAAAAAATTGCAGGAAAGATCATAAATTTTAATAGGACTTTCAATGTAAAGAACTATTGAAGTGCACAAAAAACGATTCAATTCACAGCTCTGCTCCCCTGCACAACTTTACTGAAAGCAAAGGCCTTTGCTCAAGAGTAGCTTCTTCCTCTTGCTGCAGAGGTTTTCAAAATAGCTGTCTTTTCTAGAATCTGGCAGGTTTGTATTTACAAAGAAACTAACCAATTGACTTCTGAATGTAGGTCACAACACTCATTCCTTAGGTGGCTGGCCTATTTTTATCTTATTTGAAAGGGCAAGAAGAAAAAAGAAGAGCTAACTGGGCATGCTTCTTAGCTCCAAAGTGTTTTTCACTCTGGGAGTGATACATGAAAATATCACTGCAGAAATTATTTTTATTTGTAACAAATCTTCAATTCCCTAGATCTTATCTAAAAAACAAACACACAACTCCAAACTGCTACACCAAAGCCTTTAAAAGCAAAACTCTGTAACCATTCTTGTATTACTTCAACCTGCATGTCAGAGTGAGGTTTCAGGAGACCAATGATCTACTCAAAAGGACTCACCCCAGATAGCCCATTCCTGTAACAGAAATAGTACAGAGCTATAACGGGCTCCACTGCAGTCAGGAATAGCTTAGCAGTGGTAGAAGCAGACATCTCCACATACTTTGTAATGTCTTTACAACTCTAAGCTACTCATCTCAAGACTTCTTTTTTCAAATAGTTGTGGCTTTTTTGTTATGTTTTGGTTTTTAATTCTGTAAGAAAGTCTGTTTTCCAAGCTGCAACTATATTTGATCAAGTGGCTGGAAAAAAAATGAGTCTGGAACACCATAAATATTATCCTATTATCTGACTGTGATTAAATCAGAATTATACAAATACGTTAAAATAATTTGTAGACTGACAATAAGGATGGCTGTCAAACTGAAACCCAATGGAACTTCAAATGCACCTTAAACACTGTATCAGTGACAGATACTTTAAGGTAATATTATTACCAGGTGTCTTATGCTACAGTAATGTTTCAGGATCTTTCACACAGATCTGTTCAGATAAAAGATGTAATGCTGGCATTACATTTGCCAAAATTGCCATTTGCAATTAAAAATTAAAACTGGCACTCTTTCTATGCAGGCAATTATCTAAACGCAGCTGGCAGTCTTCCTTGTTTACAGCACTGCTGTGTCATGACTACCCTCCGTTTGGAAATTTACCACCTTTTTTTTTTTTTTTTTTTTAAGGTTTAAACTTGTCAGCTGTATTTCCCACTTGAACTTTTCTGGTTTTAAAGATTTCTATTATGAACTCAAACAAAAAGGTCCAAAACTATAATTTGTATATTTTGTATGGCAACTTCAGGCACTGCCGTAAAATTATTCCTAGTATATATTTTGGTGTTTGTTGCAACACTAATTTACATCCATCTAGGCCACAGGAAAACACCTGTAAGGACCCAGACAGCAAAATGTACCAAATAAATGCTGTCGAAGAAGAACATATTTGGATGTAAGAGTTGATTTTCAGAGTAAAACAGAAATAATGGGAAGATCCTCTAAGCGGACAAAAAACCTTTTATTGAATAATATATGATATTAAGCATATTGCTTACTTGCTATCTATAGTAATTGTCATCTACTAAATGAATCTATCCACAAAGTATCGTATTAATCAGAGTGCCATGTTTTTGGCAACGTTTTACTTACAACAGCTGCTATTAAAGCAAGATTTGAGGGTTCCCCTGTTGCTGGGAGAAGAGCGCTCTTTATGCTGTCAAACAGCTTGTAGGGACCAGTTGCTTTTTTATCCAAGACGCTGCAGCCACTAGCTTGATTTCCATGACTGTTATGGAACTAATACAAGTACTTACAGCATATCAGTTAAATATTCTGATTAGGAGGTATTTCCTGTAGACAAACATAACGATAAATTGTATTATATCCCTAATACAGTAATGCTTAACTTCCTTCCTCTGTAATTGATCACGTTTTCACCAATAAATACGATCCGCTGTCAGGACTCCTTGACAGACTTTACATGTTTTGCTCAGCCATTTCAAAGGATTTTGAGTAGGGCCTTTCCCCCGAATAATACCAAAACCCATAAAAACAGAGGATTGCTAATGAACTGAGGAACACGTCTGACCCCAAGGATACTGCAAGCAGTGACAGCCACGGGTCCCCTACCACAGGTGTCCCGGGCAAACCTCTTGAAGTTAAAGCAGCACAAGTTTCGCAGCGCGGTGACAGTACCGCTCTCCACTGAGAGATGGGACGGAACATATATTTCCGTCACGGGCTTTTTCAGGATGAGTGCGACAGGAACCGTCACTCGCTAAGATCAAAGCTCAGCAGCGGCAGGCACCGGCGGAGGAGCCGCCTGCGCGGCGGCCGCTCGCTGCACGCTGCCAGCGGCAGGTGGCCGCACCTGAGCGCAGCATCCCGCGGCGCCGCGCACCCGCGGCGAGCACCCGCGTGGGAAGGCGCTGTCACCGCGCTCTCTGCGAGGCGGGGACCAGGCGCGCCCGGAAAACACTCAGGAGGCAGAACCGAGCGCTACGGTTCCGCGGCGGCAACTTTTCAAACCGCGCAGCGCTCGGTGTCCGCTCGGCAGGACAGGAGCCGCGGGTACCTATGCTGGATACCTAATGCGCCCCGCCGTCGCGGGGAGGATCCGGCAGCCGCCGGCACCCCTCGCTCCGTCTAATCTCGAGGCCGGCGTGTGGCATCAGTGGGAGCGCCGCGCAGTCTCCCCCCGCGCAAACTGGCTGCCTCGGGCGCCCGGGGGAACAGCGAGCATGTGCTCCCCGTCGTTCTCTCCTCCGGTTCTCTCTGCCGGGTGAACCCAGCTTTCCCCCATCACCTCCCAGCCAGGGCTGCGCGGGATTTCCCGCCGCCCGCGGAGAGCCGCGCCGCAGGTGGCAGCGGCTCCCGCGCCTCCGCTGACTCCTCCCGGGCACTTTCGGCGCGCCTCGCGGGGTACTCGTCCTCCCTGTGTCCCGGCACGGAGGGATGCCCGAGGACCAGGGAGCAGGGCAGGGAGGTACGCGCCGCGCCGTGCGGCGGAGCGCTGCTCAGGACACGTGTGGGCAGCAGCCTGTGGAACACGGGAGGGGTCGGACAGGACGGGACGGGAGGAGAGGGGAGAGGGTCGGTACTCACACGAAGGCGTGATAGACGAAGGCCCATCCGCGGGGCCGCTCCAGCACGTTGTACAGGTAGTTCTGCAGGCGGCGGTACTTGGCGTTTCTGCGGCAGCTCGGTCCGCTGCTGTAAGACAGCGGCTTCCCCAGCAGGCTCATGCGGGCTCCGTGCTTCCCGCGGCGGCCCTCCCGCAGCCCGGCGGGGGCGGCCGCGCCGCCGGTGCCCAGAAGCAGCAGGCCGTCGCCGCGGGCCGCTGAGCTCGTCAGCGCCCTGCCCCGGCCCGACTCCACATCCTTCATGCCAGCTGCCGCGCCGCTCTTCACCCAGAGCCCCGCGGAGCCGCCCTCCTCCCCGCCGCCGTGGTTGCGGGGCATGGCATCACCCCGGGCGCCGGAGCGGGCGCCGGGGCCGCGGCGGAGCAGGGCGCGGGCGGCGGCGGCCAGGCACCCCGCGGCAGCGGCCCGCAAGAGGCAGCGGGGGCCGAGGGTCTCCGGGCGGCGCCCGCGGGGCGCGGGGGCGCGGGCCACTTTGGGCGCCCGGCGCGGCGGGCCGGCCTGCGGCAGCTTCGCGGGGGCCCCGGCGAGGGAGCGGGCGCCCCCCCGGGCGCGCTCTCCTCCCGGGCGGCGGGGCCCCGCCGCCGGTCCCCGCAGCGCCGCCCGGCGTGGCTCCGCGGCCCGGGACGGGGAGGAGGGAGGGACGGCAGCTCCTCGCGGCTCCGGCGGAGAGGCCGCGGCTTGGCGGTGCCCGCCGCCGCCCGCTCCCGCGCTGCCTCCCGCGTCGTTTGGCCGGGCAAGCTGTTGCTCTCGCTCCGAGCGGCGGAGAAAGTCGGCGAGGCAGGCGGGCCGGTGGGGGCAGGCGGGGGCCGCGCCGCTGGGCGCCTTCGCGTCCCGGGGCGAGAGCGGCAGAGACAGCGGCGGTGCCCGCGCTGAGGAGGGCGGCGAGCGGCTGGCGGGACGCGGAGCCCGCGTTCTACGCGCGCTCCCGGGAAATGTCCATGTAAGTCCGAGAAAGTAACAAAACTGCCGTAAGTCCCGGCGGCGGCGCGGGGGAGGACCGGCCGGCGGCGGGACCCCACTGCGGGCAGGGAGGGCGGCCGGCCCGGGCGGGGCAGCGCAGACGAGCCGCCGGGTGTCCCCCCGAGGGGGCGGCGCGGCCCGGCACGCCGCTCCGGCGCTTCCGCCGTGTCCCGGACTCGTGAGGCGGCGAGACAGCAGATCCCAGGGGCAGCGGCGGGCCTGCCCTTCCTGCGGGCTCCCTCACGGCCCCCGTCAGCTCCGGCCCCGGCGCGGTGCGGCCGGAGCGCAGCGGTGCCGCCGCTCGGTGCCCGCGCTGCGCCGAGACAGCGTTGCTCCCCCTGCCGAGCGCGGCCCTTTTACGCCCCGCCGCATCAAGGTGAGCTTGCGGAAAAAAACACCACCCACCCCGGCACCCGCAGGCGCGGCCGCACCGCGCTGCCCGCCCGGCCACCGCTTTGCCCGTGGGTTATCGCCCGTGCTTGGCGGGCGACCTCCGCCATCCCCCAGCACTCCCCCCGCACCCCGCGGCCGCCTGCTGCGGGCAGTCGCCGCCCGTGCCGCTCCTGGGGCCGCAGCTCGACATGCCTGGGTGCCCCGCGCTGCCCCGGGGACAGGACGAGACACCCCGGCACTTCAGCACCCACTTCACGAGAAATAGCTGCGTGGCACTGGTTTTGCAGCCTGAGCGCCACGATGTGAAAATGCGGCATTAATTCTGAAGTCTTAATGAAAAACAGTAAGGTGTATCCTAATGTTAAGCGAAATTCAATAGAAACATTCAGAAATTTTTTTTCGGGGTTTTTTTTCCCTTTGTGCTGGCTAGTTAGAGGCTTGGCTTTCAAGCTTTGGTTAACACACGATCTTCAACTCCCAGAAAAGAAGAAACTGTTAAGACTTATTTCATGTTCTGGCAGTGAACATTAACTTATGCCCCTACTAATGTAACATGGACACATCACCAGTACTAATTCATTGCTACAATGTGTCCAATGCCATTCAGTCAGATGTCTTTAAATGACAAGTTTAAACTTCTTCCTGTCTTCACTACACTTTTTCCTCCACTGCGGGCCAGTTCAGACAGGAACTTTCTAACATGTGAACCACTGTGGCCACTCAGACTCGTGATAAGGGATGGCAGAAACAGCACACATGTCGAAACAGATGTTAAGTAGTTGATACAACTATCCACAGAAATCCCATTAATATTTAAGCTTTCCAGTGGCACATATCTACTCTTCTTTCTTTGAATTGTAAATTGGGTTAGTTAATCCTTCATTTACTACTTGTTTGCATTTCCCTGGTTTGATATACACAAGTATTTATACTCTTCATTTTTCTCATTCTTATTTACAGCTGAAGATGTACAGCATGCCTTTTCCATCAGCCACTCCTCCAGAGCCAAGCTTAGATTTAAACTCTACTGGCCTTAGTCACTTGATTTGAAGGCTGATGCTCAAATTCTGGAATGCCAAACTTCAACTGAGAGTACATGGTCCAACCCACTGAGCCAGGCCTCTGTCCCAGGGGCACTAACCCTTGAGCTTTGTTTAATTGCTGGGGTGGGCAATGGCACAGCTCGCAGCAGCACATATGCATCTCTGTTAATGGGACTGAGGCTTTAAACTGAGGATCAGGCCAATAAAGTATGAGCATTACTGAACTCCAGTTCCTGATGTGCTTTTTGCGATCCATTAAAAAATATTGTTATAATTCTGTGCCCTCTAGTGGTGCTTAAAATCATCAATTAATTTAAATAATCATAAGGAAAACAGTTTGTGAGCACAAGTTGAGCCAATATTGAAATGTAGTCATAGATTCCAGAAGAAGTAGAAGCTAACAAAAGTAATACACTTAGTGATTAATTATTTTATTTTTTACAGTGTGGGAACAAGTGTATTTTCCCATCTGTTATCTGTTATTAAATAAATCCTTTCAAAAGTATGTATTATGAGAAGACATTTATGGTAATTAATCTAATCCCTACTTGTTCATATGTCAGATAACCAGGGCATGATCTGCTGGTTGAATACGGAGATCATTAGCACCCAGGCAGCTGCCAACCCTCTGGCAGGCAGAGAGGCTGTGCTATGGAACAAAGCTAGTCTTCGTCTAAGTATTCATTGCAAAATACAGGTCTGCATTTATAGGACAACAAATTCCCCTGATATTTTGGCTTCAGACTATATAATACCTACAGAGATGAGTCGTGTGAAATTCTAGCATATCCACATGGTCCAAGGTCATCCTGGGTTCAGATGTCAGTAAGAGGATCTACTTGACGAAATCTCCAAGGCAAGAACATCCCAAGGAATCTTGACTTCTCAAGGCTGCAGGTACAGTATATCACACCTGCAGAAGGACAAGGAAAATAACATGCTAAAGTGAAGATTTAGAGTCACTATTACTGTGCTTTATGGCAAATTCTGCCAAAATTAAAAGTAAAACAGAGATTCAAGATTGCATTGCATTTTTTAAATGTGTACATCAAATGCTACATATCCTGACTTTTGGAAGGATCAGCTGATACATATAATCTTTTTTTGATCAGGAACCAAATGTCACATATGTTTGCTATTTTCAGGGTTTTCTTCCCAATGAGTTACTTTTGATATATTGTCTTACATCAGTGTTTCTGGTTTTATTTTAATTAAAGAGCGGAAGCAATTTAAACAGCAGTGCTAGTCTCTTATTCCCTTATTTATAAGTTGTTTTGGTTTTTTTTGTTTTTTTTTTTTTTTTGCTGGAGCATGAACACTTCTTTTCAAAGGCATCTACTAGGGCAGTTTTGGGGCTAGCTACAGTAGAATTTTAAGCAAGCCTTCACAATGACTAAGTTTGCAAATAAGTAACAGGAATACTGAAATACACTTGATGCAATTATGTCATCAGATAGATACTAATAGAAGAAGAACTTTGTTACAGGGTAAAAACAAAGAGGAAAAGGAAGACCAGCCATGTTGGAGGACACTGACCAGAGTTCAGGAGGCCCAGTTCACTGCTCTGCTCCATGCTGCCAGGACAGATAGGATCTGGAGCCTATCCACACCAAATCTAAAGTACCTAAGCATGCAGTTGCCTCAAGTCACTGACAGATGCTTACTGAGCTGATGAAAACCAGCTGAACAC